ATTCATATTGAAATGGTTTTTCACAATTAAATATTCTACACTCATCTACTCGGAACGTAGTATTTAATTGAACATTTATTTCGACAATTCGAACATCGGGTCCCACTTGAAATTGTGGTCAAAGTTGACCCGCTTGGCACCATTTCCAACACTATATATATGACATTCAACTAATGTGCAACCAACATAGCACTTGGGACTTGTGACTGTAAAATTCATTCAATTCCACCCCTGTTTAGTTAAAGATCTTGATTAGATCACCTTCTTAGACTTCTAAGTATGTAATAGGTTAGTACAACAAAACTGATATTAGTCAAATCCCATAACTACTTTATGTATCAGAAGAATAAAGTCTTTGTCCAAATAATCACAAGTAATTTGTATAACCCAACCAATCTCAGCCAAACGGTCATGTAATTCAGTGTAGAAGAAAATCCAATAGCAATTATACCAAAATTAGCCGGTAATCAAGATATGAACCTAGCCCATAAAATTTTAAATATATGTGAAGGGTAATTAAGTCTGTGCAAATCATTACTTATTAAAATGCAGCCAAAATTGCAGGAAAAAACTGCTAAAAGTCCGTATATTATCAATTCAGAACGGTAAATTCCCAAAAGTCTAATCGTTCAACCTCATATTACATTAGTTAATTTCCTGATCAAAAGCAGCTGAATGTACGATAACGATCTTTAATTCGAGAAAATGACAACACAGTACTGTAAGTTTATAAATTTACATTATTATCGAAACAATGAATATTTTTTCAGCTGATTTACCAGGTAGGGGAGTAAAAATACCAAAAATTTTCGTAGAGTACCTGAAGAAATGACCAGGCGAGGTTGAGAAGAACGCTGAACCAGATAAGCGCATAGTACGAAATCATTACATAAGACCTGCGGTGGCTCAGCTTCTTGATATTCCGCTTAGCTTGAAACCCTAGGTACAGCACGAACAACACCGAGGGTACAACAAGAGCTGCTTCGCGCCAGAATCCGGTGCACCCCGCGCTTCCCAAATTGTACCATTTGGAAATTGTGTGGGAATCACTCCGCAATGAGGGATCTGTGATGTTCTGAGTTGAAGCGATCGATAGGGTTATATTTGGGGTTGACATCAGTATAATTCAAATTAGAATGAAAATCAAATCATTTCGGAGAATGAAATGCATCATAGAACGAATTCGCAGCCAAATTTAGCTCTCAATTAGCAAAATCGATCGGTCGTTGAAGCGTGTATCCGTGTGATAGAGAGATAATTGGGAGGCGTTTGGACGAATTGTTAGGTACTACTAAGAATTTGTCACTTTGCCCCCTAGACTTCAATAACTTTTTACTTTGTGCCTTTTTGAAAGAAAAATGCTTCGAGTACAGAGAATAACTCACATATTTTTAACAGGAATTTAAATGATAGCATCATGTTAGTCTGTATGTTGTTTTCCCTCTTCCCGTTTTGAATATATTCCCTCCATTTCAAATTCATATACCTATTCTGTATAATTTTCCTCTACTTACAGCAACATTCGTCACAAATGATTAATGGTACGAGAAACATAATTCTTGCCTCAAATTTTTTATTTTATTAATTTTTATATTTCTCAATTTGAATCTTATGTAAAAAAACTAAAAATAGTATTAATTAATTAAACGGGTAAACGTGAGATTTTTTATATCCTCGTTCCCTCTGGTTCTATCTATGTTCTTACCTTGACTTTCAAAACAACTGATGGGTGGGGATGGTAATGGACCTAATGGTTGCCCATTATCATTCCCTGGAAGTTGCTATTTGCTACCGAAAAAGTTGGTAAGATAAGATCAAGGCCTAACTAAAGTAGAAAGAATTGAGTTATTCATCCGAGTTCCAATAGCTTCTAAAATGGGGAGTAAGGGTGAAATTTAAAAAAGAAATAACAGACAATACGAATAATTGGGGTAAAAATGCAAAATCCATAATTTTGGAGGGTATAATGTGTGATTAATAATATTTGATGGTATACCGTCAAATTACTAAATTTAGCTTACAAAGATGTATAAAATTAAGAATAACGATAAATGTACATAATTATTTATATTGGTGTATAGATTGACGATATGACATTATATTAAAATTAAACCGATTTTCTTCTCCTTTTTTTCTTCTTCTCTCTCTTCCAAATTATTGTTTCTCTTTCTTTGTACACCAATTATTTACGAGTAATATTATTCTAAAGTTAATGATATGACTTCATATTAGCGTTGGGAATGATGCTTGGTGCACACATTTGTTTACACAATGTCACATGGCATTATCTCATTTGATTTTTTTTTTTTTTAAACTATTTTTTCATCCAATGATTTTTTTGACAACAATGCATGAGTCAACAAGCGGAGACAAAGCTAGGGGGGCTGGGGAGACGACCTCCCCCC